AAAATATACAGGCAGCCAGTGAAGTGAGGCCAGGACAGGGGTCACATGTTCCCTCTTCTGAGTTCCTGTCAAAAGTCGTGCAGCAGCATTCTGCACCAGCTGCAGACGTGAGAGCAGTGACTGACTGACTCCCAGGTAAAGAGAGTTACAGTAATCTAAACTGAATGCAGAAACCTGATTAGGTCTCATTTAACTGTTTATATTCAGCTCTAAAGATTCTATTTCACCTGAAACCTGTCTGTGCTTCGGAGTCTAAAACAAAATGGCCCAGAGCTTACGTGTCATTACACTGTTCATAAATACCCCGGTCACACCCCTAGAGGGTGGTTCCTCTTACGTCAGCAATGATATGCCATAAATGTAAACAATTATTCTTACACTGTTGGAGCGAGGCACATATTAGGTAGAGTCTTGTTAATTCTATCACTGTTTAAAGTAAATGACTAAAATCACAAAGTATAAGATATATCCTAGTATAAGATGTATCTAAAATTCTGTTGATCAGTCACAAAATACTGTATCCTTCAAGTGTTTTGGTTGTTGGTAGTGATCCAGTTTGCATGGATGTGAAATGTGTTTCTAATAATTACATTAAATTACATGTGCAAGATAGGGTACTTTACATGACAATTTTAGTTATTGCCTCATTTTTACTTACTGTTTATCTGTATTTTTTTAAATATTTTATTTACGTAGAGTGTGGTGGAGTTCTTGACAATCCAGCAGGTGGGAATTTCACTTCACCTGGCTACCAAGTGTCCAATTACAGCAACAACCTGAACTGTGAGTGGTTAATCGAAAACCCGAGTCACGTCAACTCCTCGATCGTGGTGCTTATTCAGGACCTGCATCTGGAAAATCATCAGACTTGTCAGTCAGACTTCCTGCAGTTTCGTTTAGGTAAGTCATTCTAAAAGATTACAGCAGCACCATTCTCATGTTTAACAATCACAGCCTCACATTAYGTCTTTAGAAAGTTTTAATGGCCCATATTTTACACGTGAGCAAACATGTTCTGGGAGTTTATGTAATAGACCTGAGTTGGTGCCTTCTGTTTTATTTTTTATGTTCTGGTACTATTCAGAACAGAGCAGCCTTTTATGTGTTCCTCAGCTGGGTAATACTCACCAAGCTGCATGAACAGTGAAAACAAAAATACTCCTTAAACAAGACCTGAACCTTCAGGGTCCTAGAGAAACACAGATGCATTTTTTTTTTGCTAAGGTGTACATGGAACCCTGTAACCAAGGGACTGGAGGTCTCACAGTCAAAGTGAGAGACTCCACCAAGGTTGGARGAGAACAGCAAGGCTAAGATACAGTGGGACTTCTAGATCCAGCCTRATAAACACGGGATGTCTAACAGACAGACTGTGGTCAATAAGCTACAGAAGTGGTGATCCCAGGTGACTGTAACATCAGGAAGAAGGAGCTCAAAAAGCTTGAAAAAYACTTAWAAAGGAAATGAAGAATTTGTGAAGAGTCAAAGCGTCAGTGGTGCCAGTGGAGCACTCGGTGCTCTGAACCCCAGACTGGTAGAGTGGCTTCAGCGGATCCCAGAAACAACATCTGAGATCTCTGTCCAGATCAGTGCAGTCCTAGAAAAGCTAAGATGCTATTCTGAGCTCTCAAGCTCCTAAGAGTCAGATAGAGGACCTGAGTGGAAGTGGAACACCCAATTGGACAAAGTAGAGCAAGTTCTGTGCTTTTAAGCTTCCCAATAGAATCACTCAATGTGTTAAAAAATACTCAGTAAACCAATTAAAATGTAAAAAAAAAAAAGGACATTCAATTTTATATCATTTACCAATAATCTATACTGAAGGGTGTTCTTTTTTACGCTAAAAATAGTAACAGAAGTCATTCACCAGACAAGCTTGTGTCATCTTGTCTACACTGTCATCCAGGTGACTCAGACGGGGACATGTTGGCCAAGTTCTGTGGACAAACCGCTCCACAAATCCCCATTGTTGTGTTTACACCAAAGCTCTGGGTCCATTTTCAGACGGACTCATATGAAGGCGACTTGGGCTTCAAGGCCTTGTACTCATTCTCTGGTAAGGCAGCAACACTTTCTAATGTGGCAGCCATATTGTGACAAACAATGCCTTCTAACTCTGTTCTCTCTGTGCAGAATGTGGAGGRTGGCAAACGGGTGAAGGAGGGGTGATGTCCAGTCCCAATTATCCCAACATCTATCCCAGCCCCAGTCGCTGTGCTTGGCTGCTAGAAGCTCCAGTTGGACACACAATCACAGTAAGTTACACTGCCAGATGTGTGTAGAGAGATCAAAAACACAAGAGTTAACAGAAATGTGCTCAYTGGTTTTAAAGGTTTGTACTGTACCTGATTAGTACAACACTAATAAGAAATATAAAAGAAATTTAAAAAGGTGCAAAAATATAGTTAAAGTACCAGAAAAAAGCTAAAAGCTAAATTAGCTGAAAGAAATTGAAAAAGAGCAAAACCAGAATATAATGTACAAGGTACTGTAAAGATTTAGAAACATTATGAAGAATTTTAAGGATGCTGAAAAAAGCGCCATTTATTTTCATTTGGAAAAAGTAGACAAAATAGCTTTGGCTACTATCTTGATTTTTTTTTCAGCTTCAGAATGTGATGGAGCTAAGTCTCAGCTGCCAATATACTAATTTTTAGCTCATTATATCAACAATTAGCTGAAATAAAATAATTTGAATTTAGCACTGGCAGGTATTTTGGAACATTTTCAGCTACTATCATACCATGTTTTAGCGTATCATATTAAAAATTGGCTGTATTGTCATTTTATTACACTAGAAAGCATCTGTAGGAAGCATAAACAGCTCCAAGTAGCAGAAAAGAAGCACAAGAAGTTGAAAAAAAGCAGAAGAATAAAATAAAGAAGCAGATCTATAGCAAATATACCAAAAAAAAAGAAGCTACAATTAGCATAAAATAAGCTAAACATAGCAGCCACAAGTTGAATATAGCACCCAGATTGCGAAAGTGTTGTAAAAAATTGCAATATTAGCAGAAAAACAGCAGAAAATTACAAAAAGGTGAGAATTTATAGTTCAATAGCTAAGACAGACAAAATTTTCAGTAAAACAGATAAAAAATAGCTGGAATTTCTTTATATAGCATAAGAAGCACAAGTTTGCTGAACTTAGCAGAAATAAGTTGTAATAGCTACAAAAATATGTACTTAGCTTAAAAAACTTTAGTTAATAGCAGCTGAACATAAGCTAAAATTGCAGCAAATAGCTAGATATAACAGGAAACATCTGCAGAAAGCATAAACAGCTCTAAGTAGCAGAAAAAAACACAAAAAATGTAGAAAAAAGTAGGAGAATAGCAGAAAGTAGAATTTTAGCTGAAATAGCTGCAAAAAGCTAAAATTAGCACAAAAAAGTAGCTAACATTTGCACAAGGAAGTAAAAAACAGCATAACCAGACCAAATTGTGTAAGGTTTTGTAAAGCTTTAAAAACATTTTGAAGGGCCCGGGCCTCTGTGTCCATGCTCGGATCTACTCCAGCGCTGCGGGTGCCGGCGGGTCCTGTGAGCTCGTCGCTGCTGGCCCCGGGGGGTTACTGCGCGAGGTCACTGGGGGGGCTCTCCAGGTTCTCTCCTGTGGTCCGCTCTGGGGGTGGGTGGGCGGTTCTTCATACGCTGGCACCCTGGGGGGCTCCGCACTTGGGGTCCATCTCAGGGTCTTTGGCTCTGGTCTTCCTTATGTCTGCCTCGGGCCTTGGGGGTAGGGTCTGTGGTCCTCCACAGTCACTATTAAATATTCTATTGGAGAAACCTTGTATATACATGCATGTTCATAACGGCACACAGACAGGTGTTCAGATCCTTGGGTTTCTGACAGTCACTGAATCTATGAATATGTATGCATATCTATATGTATGTAAGTCAATGATGATGAAGAAACTAATATTCAGTTCTGTTTTCTTCTGAAGTGGCTTAAAAAATCATTTTGAAGAATTTCAAGGATGATGAAAATAGCCCCATTCATTTACAATGGGGAAAAAAGCGGCTAAAAAAGTGAAATAGCTATAAAAAAAGGAAAAAAAGTATAAACAGCAGAAATACCAGAAGTCATAGCTGGAATGTCCTGAATGAGCTGAACGTTTTGATATATGAATTGTTGAAATAGCATAAAAATTGTGGAAAGAGAATGGGGCCAAAAAAAGGAAGGAAGAAAAAATGATCTCAATAGTGTGAATGCTGTAAGGCATTCACCCAATGAAATGTTGTTTGGACACAAAACAGTACAGTGATGTCATGTTTCCTCACAACAAGGTTTGTTGATCATTGTTTAAGTGTTCAGGTGCTCTAGTGTTTTATGAATGTCGGATTGATTTGAAAATTTTAGAACTTTTTTTTCTAGAATGGAGTACAACATACAGGTTCAATGTTGTTTTTTAAAAAACAAGAATTGAATGCGTGCATTTAAATTTACTGCATATTCTCTTTTATCCACACCTGCTTTGAATTATGCATACAGGCTCAAATATATTCATACCTCCCACAAAATTGTYAATTGTCTTGGCAAGTTGAATCTTGAGGCTTTTTTTGTGTTAATGAACAAGTTTCAAGTGTGATACTGAATAATATTTTTAATAAATGTATTAGATTTTTGCATTYTTCATTTGCTGAGGCAGAAATGATTGTCTGTGATCAAATACTGAAGAAACGTAGCGAAGCCTAAAACACTGCAGGCTACTTATTAAGTACAAACTGACTGGGTCTGCCTCACATGTCTTCCTCTGCAGCTGACTTTCAGCTATTTCAGCCTGGAGCCACATACCACCTGCAGCTGGGACTCTGTGACCATTTTTAATGGAGGTTCCCCTGGCGCTCCTATTATTGGGCAGTACTGCGGCACCACTTCTCCTGGAACTGTCCAGTCAGGCACCAATAAGCTGGCTGTGGTTTTCCTGGCTGACCACAGTGTGTCTAGTGGTGGATTCATTGCCACCTGGTCTGCTGACTCTTCTGGTGAGATTATACTGGAACATGCTTTAAAATAAACTTGCATTGTTCTTGAACTCTTGCTTTAAATCACTTACTTCACCTTTGTTGTCATATTTCATATTTCAGGATAAAATCACCTCTAGGGCCGTTTAAATCACAAGTTTTTAAGAAAAGCATTTTGTGTCTAAATGTTTCTAGATGCGTTCTSGTAGAGCTTGCTGTGAAACCACTAATAGTTTCATTATTTTCATTTGTTAGCTGAGTTTACCCAGCTAACCTTTAGTGCAACAGTTGCACGATGTAGATACGTTGAAATATATGTAGTTTTCAACATTTTGGCTGATACTTACACAGTATATTACTGTATCTCACTAGGCTGTGGAGGGGTGATCCATGCTGATAGTGGAACGTTTAAGTCGCCAAATCATCCCCAAAACTTCCCAGCCAATGTGGAGTGCACCTGGCAGGTCATTGCTCACGAGGGAAACCACCTGGAGATGAGCTTCAGCCCTAATTTTGAGATTCCAGATCCTACTGGGACCTGCCGGAACAGCTACATCAAGGTACAAAGTCTAATTTATAAACATGTTTTAAAATAACTGATTATCTTATGGTGAAATTGAATGGTAAATGCAGTCCTTTATTGTATGCGAGTCATTTTATTTTGCTGTGAAAACATTAATTTTGGGTCTCTGTGACTCTGCAGGTGTGGTCAGGCAGCTCCCAAAATGATGAAGCTCTGCTGAAGACAGGCTGTGGCTCAGTGACACCAGGACCTGTTGTTGCCCCATATAACATCATCTCGAGTCGATTTCAATCTTCTGATTCCCCCGGGAAAGGGTTCTCTGCTACTTTCAGTACCCGTAAGAATCGGTTTTATTTGCACCAAATACCACATTCAAAGTTTGGTTTATGTATTTGGTGAAGTTTAGTCTTTTGTTTTTGTATTTATTGACTTTTGAAAATTAGCATTCATAATAATTCTGACACCTGTCTTGACTCAGTTATTAATATTAAACCTGAGCAGTACAGGTGATGCAAAGGCCTATTGAAATCATAGTTTTTATTTGTATTATTCTGGTTCTTGTTGTTATTCTTGTGATATACTGAAAAACTTTGAGCACACCTTTTGATTGTGTACAGATCTAAAAATAAGCATTGCAAATTTAGTCGGCAACTGCACCTATTTTGCTAACATGGCAGTTGTTACTCTCTCATAGAACATTAGATCTACACCTAAAGCTATATGTTTGATTAACAAATAATAAAATTTAAATATAAAACAAAACGTAAGTCATGTTTGTGGTTTTGAGTCTCAAGAAAATGTTTATCTCTTCGATTTGTAAAGGGTGCGGCGCAAACTTCACAGCAGCCAGTGGTCGTGTGGTCTCTCCAAATTTTCCAGCTAACTACCCCGACTATTCTAACTGCAACTACACTATAGATGCTGGAGAGCAGACTGTGATCATCCTCACCTTCCAGGTTTTCCAACTAGAAAGTACGAGACAAGAAACATAAGAWCTGTTTGCTTCTAAATGATTTTAGTTTAGAATATGACAAGTCTTCTTTTGATAATTACTGGGTGTAGTGCYGAAAGTCTTTTTTTTAATAACTTGTCTTTTCTCTGTCCAGCACATTCCACATGYCTGTATGATGGTCTGAAGATCTATAACCCACCCACTAGTAGCACTCCTATGGCCACTTTATGTGGTACAAACATCCCAGGTCCCTTTTCCACTTTTGGTCCCATGCTACTCCACTTCTACTCAGACTCTGTGATCACCAGCAGCGGCTATATGGCTGAATACAGAACCATTCGTAAGTAAAGTAATTAAAACTGGAWRAATACCCAATAAAATGTTGTGGATGAAAAGAACCATTCGTCAGTCCACAATAATCCTCCACAAACCAACTGATCATTGTCTTTGCAACAAGATTCCCCAGTGTTCKTGTGTTATTGTGTGTGTATCTCTACAGCATGTGGCGGGTATTTTAACAGCACCGCAGGTACTGTGAGCAGTCCAGGACTCTCCACGATCAACTACCACCACAACATCAACTGTACCTACCACATCGTTGTCCAAGCAGACAGAGTGATAGATCTCAAGTAAGACTTTCAACTTGTTGAAWTGTAGGACTGCAGAGGGGTCATTATAAACKAAAYTAAACATTARCCAAATTTGACTCAAGGGTCAATCATTACGTAGAAYGTATGCATAAATGGCTCAAAGTGGTCATTATTACAGATGTCRCACGTTGCTTGGACTGAAGGGTATTGGAATAAAGTACAAGATATGTTATGTGAGATGTGGGAACAAAAAGAAAACTTGATGATATGAATGGTCACATAAAAAAGGCTCTAAGGAGATCTTTTAAAGGAATTTTGAAAAAGAAGGTAGTTCTAGAGGGCTTTGGARGTTAACTCAAGGGAGAGTCTGAAGAAAAGCAGTCAGAATGCTGAGTTGTTGAGGTGACTTGGACTTGATTCAACTTTTTCCTGTCTTTGACTTGGGCTTGACTCTGGAATTGTAAACAAATTGATCCCATCCTTCATGTTCCCTTTTCCTTCCTCCACAGGTTTAACACCTTCCATCTGGAGGCGTCTTCTTCCTGTCGTTACGACTATGTAGCAGTTTATGACGGACAGGACACCTTAGCGCCCTTGCTGGGGAAATTCTGCGGCACAGTGCTTCCACCTAATTTGCGCTCCTCCACAAACCAACTGTTCATAGTCTTTGCGACAGATTCCTCAGTCAGTGGTTTAGGTTGGAGAGCTACTTACGCTGAAACGCTYGGTAAGTCGAGTTAAGATGAGATAAATATATTTGTCATACGCAGATAAAGACAAATGGTCAAAAGTAAAATAAAATGTTATGGATGAAAAGAACCACTCATCAATCCATTTTGTACACCCATGTAATCCTGTTCATGGTCACAGAGACTGGTCCAGAAGTCAAATGTGTGTCTTTGTTGGCACTTTTCCTTTCTTGTCAGCAACTTTAGAGTTTCACTTGTTTTTGACGTTCCTTGCTTTGTCATTATTATGACACTAAAAAACAACCCATTAAAAAAAACTGACTGTTGATTTTCTTCTGAATTTTCCTTCAGGTCCAGCTCAAGGCTGCGGCGGTTACCTCTCCATGCCTATGGGCATGTTTGGTTCACCAGATCCAAACCTGGATGGACGTTATGAGCCCAGGATGGACTGTTTATGGACCATTGAGATGCCAGTGAACAAGGCCATCAATCTAACTTTTATCTCCTTTGACCTTGAGAACTCCTTCAATTGCTACTATGATTACGTCAAAGTAAATATCTTAACCACATCGTTGAACATATTGAATTAACCACTTAAAGTCAATTACAGATGTTACAACTCCTCCTGTCATGTGAATAACATCAACTATTGTGCTTTAACAACACAGTTTGTCTTGCAGTGTTCTAATTAAGTCAGTAACATGTGTGTACCTCTAACAGGTGTATGACGGTGACAACGTGAACTTCCCTGTGGTTGGGACTTTTTGTGGACTTACCATTCCTGCTTACTTTTTGTCAAGTGGGAACTTCCTGACAATTCATTTTGTCACTGACAGCTCAGTAGAGAAGCGAGGCTTCAACGCCACCTACAGAGCAGTACCATGTAAGAGACTTTATCAAATTTACTTTATTGCAAAATAAAAGCTTCTCATCTTCATCTGAAAACAGTTCAATCTGCCGTTAACTCTGTAACTGAGTCTGTAAACTTGAAACATGACACTCTGATACAGTCAATCCAGTTCCAAACACATTATCTTGGTTGTCACCATTGCCTAGCAGTGCACAAAAGTCCAGAATTAGAAAATGTAATGTTTTCCATATATTTTTTGCAGCTTGCATGAGTCATACTAGTCATATAGATAAATTAAAATGACATGGACACAAAAAAGATGGTATCTTTAATTGATAATTTTGTATCAGCACATTTTGCGTCAACCACTGCCAACAAGCAACTTCTGTGCTTCACAAAGAGACATTTGCATTTACCAACAGGAAGTTTGGCCCGATCTCCCGGAGCGAACTACTCCAAATATCTCAGGTTGGAAGGATGGTGTCTTTACACTGCAGGTTTTAGATCTTTCCCTATATGTTTAATAGAATTGGGATTTCAGCTCATGGAGGGCCATTTAAGAAAGTCTTGTTTTTTTTTTTTTTTTAGCCATTCTTGATCTTTTCAGCTGTATTTTCTTTTGGATCCTTAGCCTTCTGAAGGACTCATGACCTGTGACTGAGGCTGAGTTTTCTGACACAGGGCAGCACGTTTCAGTCCAGGATGTCTTGCCTTGAGACTTCATTTTGCCCAACGCAGATTCACGGTTCCCCATGCCCGATGCAGCAAAGCAACCCCAAAACAATATTAATTCCCCTCCATGTTTCACCGGAGATATTTTTAATCCTGTGAATATAAAGCCAGAGCCAAAAAGTTCCAGTTTGTTCTCATCTGTTCTAGAAACACCTTCCAGATACTTTGGGACTTGTCATTGTGCATTTTGGTGAATTTCTGCCTGCCTTTTTTGTTTGTTTATTTTTCTACCAGTAGTGGAGTTCTCCTGGTCTTCTTACATAGAGCTCAATATTATTCAAAATGCGACCAATGATAAAATCAGATAGAGACATACTTTGACCTGGAGTTTAGCTTGCATGGTTTTGAATGGCTCTTTTTCCACCATCCAAACTAGTCATCTTATTAACAAGGGGTTGCATTTTATATTGCTTCCACATCCTGGAAGGTCCAATGAACCTTCTAGTTTTTAAAAATGCTAGCAGCTATGGTCCGCAGAACATGAAGATGCTTGGAGATATCTAAAATCTGTTATCTGAGCTCCACAGAGAGTTTCCACCTTTGAACATGGAGCAGAGAAAACAATGTGGTGAACCCAAACATCTTACCTGGTGGTGGTTTTTATTTTTAAATAGGCTGAATGGCTAATGGAAAGCTTGAAGGCTCCTGCAGTGTTAGTTAAGGTCAAATAGTTAATTTGAAATATAACTGGAATTCAAAGATTAATACATTTTAAGGGTACCAATAAATCTGTTCATGCCGTTTTTGCAAATCTTTGTAAAACTTAAAAAAAAAAACAAATGGTGATTTTTAAWTTTTTTTTATTCTATAACTCCACTGGATGTCAGTTACATCTTTATACAGAATAATTAACATGTAAACAATTGATATGTTTTAAATGTACCTTTTAACCTGCCTTTTCTTCAGTGATTTGTGGCGGGACTCTGAATGCCACAAGTTCTGCACAGACCCTGACCTCACCCTCCTTCCCTGGTGGCTACCCTCCTTTCACCTCCTGTCGCTGGATCCTCGATGCCCCGCCCCTAGAAACCATTAAAGTGTCCGTCCAGACTTTTGCCCTCCAACCGAGCCAAGACTGCTCAACAAACTACCTGGAGATGAAGGATTGGCCTTTGGTGGGTTTAGATAAAGATAATTTAAAAAAAAAACAGCTGGATCTTATTGAGACATGTTGAAAGATTAGTTTGTGTTCATGTTGTGAAGTTTAAATTTTATTCCAAAGCAAAGACAATCTCAGTTTAGACCAGTAAATTGTTGTCTGATAAGGGTCTCGTGTTTCCAGGGGGACTATGGACAGTCATATAAGTTCTGCGCATCAGATGGTCATCCAACAGACTTTTACAGTCATGGTAGAACCATCCATGTGAACTTCAAATCTGATGTCTTCATGACAGGAAATGGCCTCAGTTTCACCTTTCAGATTGCCAGTAAGTTTCTATTGAGAGATATTTAAAAAAACAACTACTTTTCAACTTTCTTTTATTATTTGACTTGTTTTATCTCAGATGTATGAATGTTTCACTGCATGTCTTTAATCACTGTTTAAGCAACATTCCCTAAATTGCAGGGCTGAACTATTTTTCTCAGGTAAATGGTTGAACTAATGTTAAGGGAATTTGGTCTCACTCTAAAAGTAAACCATTTGCATTTACAACTCACAACAGGCACTGTTTGTGGTTTAACACCAGTTGTGTTGGTTTTCAGGCTGCAGCCGAACATATGAACAAGAATATGGTTACCTGAAGAGTCCAGGGTGGCCTGACGTCTACCCCCACAACATGGATTGCATCATCATACTAAAGGCTCCACAGAACAACTCCATCTCTTTCTTCTTTAACAATTTTGACTTGGAGAGCCATGTCAACTGTGACTTTGACTATTTGGAGGTAAAACCGTCCATATTTATCCAAAAACAGACAGAAAATATGTAGCTACAGTATGTTTTCCACCTGTACTTCTGAGTCAATATGTCATCTTTAAATTAAAAGAATGTTAAAAAGCACTGATGTGCTCCTCAGTGTTTCAGTGTTCATCACATAGATACAGAATTTTATACAGTCTAGTTAAGGTGGTGTAATTACTCAACAGTCATTTCTTCAGGCAGGGTTCTAAGATTTCTACAAAGTGAAAACTGCGGACAGAATCATAGGGTTAGGTGTTAAAAATGGAGTTTACTCTAAAATAGGACATGTCACAGATTTTTTTAATATGAGGATATGATCTAACAAATATAGGTTTTCCTTAAAGTGTTTTTATCCTGTTTTTTAATGTGACAGGAGGAAGTTGATGTTAGGGCAGTTCAGTGCAGACATCCAGAAGTTACCACGATAACACTTATCAAGTTTACAGMAAATTTGTATTCAAATGATTTCATATAATTAAGAAACAGCATTTCAGTCAGTTTTGTTGGTACAGTATTAACTTGGACAGAAAGAAAATTAGATTAAAACAGAAAGGCAACTGTTAYGGCAATATTTATTTAACAAAGACAGAAATATGTGGTCCAAGGATGAAGGTAATCCGTGAGATGATCAGCTGAGTTTTATTGCAACAACAGGAACACAGAGAACAAACTGGCCTGTGCCTCTGCTTCTCTCTGTCACTGTCTCTCCAGACTACTCACTGTGTCTCGAGAGGCCTCATATATATATTAACAAACACCATTCTGTCATCTTAGCAAGATTTGATCCAAGGTCAATGGAAAACACAAAGATAAACACAAGTGATATCTAAGAATGACTGTTGTTAGCAAATCTTGTTCTGACTTTAATCATTCTATCTGCAGATGAACAGCATGTCATGAAAACCTAGGTCATTAAAGATGTCATGAATTACTTTCTTAAACATAAAAGTATTAGTTCCATTACAGCAGCCATTTTAGATTTTGTATGAGGACTAAGTGTRCTAAAAATTCAATTAGTTTCACAATTAAATGAAATCAAGTGGCTGGTCATTAATTCCWGCTTCTTGTTGTAAATTAAAAGTGTGTTGTTTTAACCTGTGTCTGCACATTGTTTACCACTATAATCATTTTTTTAATTGTCGACTGCTTGTGTGGTCACCTAGGTCCGTAATGGAAGTACTGCGAGCTCGCCACTGATTGGTCGGTTCTGTGGCAGCACCCTGCCCAGCCCCATCTTCCCACGATCTAACCTGCTCTACCTACGCTTCAAGAGTGACTTTTCCTTTTCCCGAGATGGCTTCGACGCAACGTGGACATCCTCTCCTCACGGTCAGGATCAAACTGTTTACAGACAATAATTAGAATTCATCGAGCTTTTTAATTATAAAAGCATGTCTTTATTTGGAATAAAGAGTTTTAATGAGTCCTTATTYTTTAATAAGAAAGATCAAAGAGACCACTGTGATTTAACTGGCAGTAAATACAGACAGGTGATTTTTTACAGTGTCT